TCTTTTCATCGCGTGCGTGTGTTCGTGCATGCGTCGCGTGCGTGTGTCCGTGCGTGGGTACGTGCGTGCGTCGCGTGCGTGTGTTCGTGCGTGTGTCCGTGCGTGTGTCGCGTGCGTGTGTCCGTGCGTGCGTCGCATGCGTGTGTCCGTGCGTGCGTCGCGTGCGTGTGTCCGTGCGTGTGTCGCGTGCGTGGGTCCGTACGTTCGTCGCGTGAGTGTGTCCGCGCGTGCGTCGCGTGCGTGTGTCCGTGCGTGCGTTGCATGCATGTGTCTGTGCGTGCGGTGCGNATATATATATATAGATGTTACCGGCGTGTACGGCTCTGCCGCTGTTCACTTTTCACTAAAGCTACTTTGTTTACATTCGGTTTAATTAATTTCTTGCGAATTCCGTCGCTGCGTGTACAGTGTACAGTGTACACTTTCTCTAATCCGACATTAGAGAACATTCCAACATGTCCGCCACACACATCCGCCCTTTTCTTCCCGCGAAAAAGCGAAAAGGCTCGAGTTTTGTTTCGCGTTTCTAATCATACTAAGAGGTTTCCTATCCGGGGATAGTTTATGATTAAAATTGTGTCGCGTTCATATAATATTTGGTCTTCATAAAAAATGACGTAAAAACATCTAACAATTAGACTATTGGAATTAATGGCAAATTTTCCGGTATTGATAGTATAGAATATGATCAAGACTCCATAATAAAAATAAAAATTATATTATGGACTTTTGATATGATGAAGATACGCTTACGCAATAGACTCCTGTAGGCGGGAGCTATATGTCACCACGTCACGTCCGAAAACATTTATTTCGTGACTCGTCCTCCGTGAACGTCACGTGACAGTGCGCGTGCGTCACGTTCCACTGCGTTCCATCATTTTTCGTGTTTGCGACGTCACAGGCATGCAGGTGGTCGACCGTAGACACCCCAGCGGTGTCTGTCCATACTGCTGCGACGTACACTCGTGTGTGTGTGTGTGTGTGTGTGTGCGTGTGTGTGTGTGTGTGTGTGTGTGTGTGTGTGTGTGTGTGTGTGTGTGTGTGTGTGTGTGTGTGTGTGTGTGTGTGTGTGTGTGTGTGTGTGTGTGTGTGTGTGTGTGTGTGTGTGT